GATGGAGTCTCACTCTGTTGCCCAGGCTGGAATGCAGTGGTATAATCTCGGCTCACTGCACCCACTGCCTTCCAGGTTCAAGCGATTCTCCTGCCTCAGGCTCCTGGGTAGCTGGGGCTACAGGCACCCACCACCACATCCGGCTAATTTTTGTATTTTTAGTACAGGCAGGGTTTCACTACATTGGCCAGGCTGGTCTCAAACTACTGGCATCAACTGACATCAAGTGATTCACTTGCCTTGGCCTCCCAAAGTGCTTGGATCACAGGCGTGAGCCTCCATGCCTGGCCTCCCTGTACCTTTCTTAGAGGGAAGGCCAGTGCCCACACTAGAGGTAACTCTGCCTGTGCAGCAAAATTAGTTATGAAGCGCTATTGGCAAGGATTATTCATTGTGAAAGGAATGTCAGAAACCAAGGGTATTGATTCCTACTGCTAATATGACCTTCTGAATTGCTGGTAAATACTGCATCCCTTTTACACATTTTTTTTTTATGCCAGTTGAAGATAGAATGAATTTCTAAAGCCAATATTAAATGGGAACAAAGTTTTGCTAATTCTGTTCTTGATCTAGACCATAGGAGTTTCCCAGGCCTGTATACAAAACAGAGAACCTATTAGAGAGATAAAATCAAGCACAAAGCCAAATTATCTAATTATTTGAATTCCCTGTATTAGCACTGATGAACTCCCTACTACTCTCTCTCAAACACCTCTCCAGGAATCTACCACTTTAACACCAAGACCAAGTCTTCCATTCAGAACTCTGGGTAATTACAGGTTTGGTAACCAGAAGTAATCAGAATGCCCTGCTACTTAATGTCTACAATAGATAATGAATGAGATTGTTAAAAATCTGAATGTGCAAAAATCAAATACTGACAAGATTTTCAAGGCAGATATTAGTGAGTTGAGGATGAAATGTCTCCAGGGAACTAAGATGTAAGGCATGCACTGCTCTACAATGACAGAGGAATAAAGAAATATGGGCATGTCATTCACGTTGCTAGAAAGAAAAGTTGTAACAGGCCAGACTAAGAAATCAATTGTAAAAGTGTTTGACACAGAAATGGTGATGGAGGAGAACAGTTATCACAAAACGCTATGGCACAGTGATGCTCAGATATACCGTTGGTGGACTCGGCAGCTGCGGCAGTGGTCCCTGCATCCGGAGGGAGGGTGCTGGCTGCTAAACCTAGAGGAGGGGGTGGGGTATTTTCTGATTCACCTACACAGCAAAAAATCAGAGCAAAGAGAGGTAAAAGAAAAAAGTCCCAATTTCTTGTTGCTTCTTAGTTTCTAATTAGGAAATTAGAAAAAGTAATTGAATCAGGTTGTCGACTTTTCAAAAAAGAAAAAAAGTTTATTTACTGCCCAAAGGTTAAAAGCACAATACAGCAAAGTCAAGAAGTAGCCTATAAACTCAAATCCATTTGCTCTCCGATAGAGCTAGTACACACCTCCTGCATAATAGAATGTTAAGATTGCTGAAATGTAGTGAGATACTGAAAAAGAAAAAAAAGCCATCCAGAGACTAGTAACAATCCATACATAAAATTACACGTTTGAAAATTTAAAGATGAGTATGAACTGGTAACAAAATAAATAAGTCACCTTGAAATAAATTAGAAAAAGCAACAAAAATTTTAAATGAGGTAGGAAAAAGTCCAGCCCTTTTTGGAGGGTAGCTGCCACTCTGCTTTTCCTGATGGCATCTGGAGCAGTGACTGGAGCCTCCTGCCGTTTCCCTCCCTGAAGTCAGACCACCCCTGGGCTTGCCAGCTGGGCCCGGCTCACTGGGCTATGTGTTCAAAGTCTTTCCTTTTGCTCTCCCTCAAAGCCCAGTTTTTGTGTCAACTGCTGTTTGCTTTCAAGAATGCATAGATCCGCTTCATAACAAATGCATGCATAGGAATCTTGGCAGTTTTAAACATCACATCTGAAAGCGGTGTCTCGGAAAAGCTGTGCAAAGCATCCCCCAGATCCTGGAGGCACCCAGCACTGCCCATGATCCCCTGCCTGCTCCATGATTTCCCACCTGGAACCTGAAATACAGGGGCAGCCCTATACTCACCATCACGTCCTCCGGGTCCCATGGGCAGTGATGCTCCCCACGAATACTTCTTCTTTAGCTCTAGCTGCTGTGAGCGCTCCAGGGACCTGCGCATCATTGCCTCCAGCCGTTCCTACACAGTTCATGTAAAGCAAGTGTTAACAAGATTAACTACCCAGCCCCACCACACTGCCTGCTGCCTCAGAGCACGGTGTGAGTCACCAAATGCGGCTTTCTGTGCTCAGCATCCAAAACCCAGGCATATGTGCTGTCTCTGCCACACCAGAGTGCTCTGAGTAGGTGGAGAGTAAACAATGCAGCTAGGCTAGCACTGGCTCTCAACCCCAACACTGCTCGTCCTGTCCCCTCCCCTCCCTGGGGAGAAGCTGCCTCAGGAATAATGCCCAATATGCATTAACTCCTTGAGGTCTGTCTCAAGCCATTCTGCCCTATCCAGAAGGAGAGCTGGAATTCTCCAGAACCAACAGCAACCTTTCTAGTTAAAAGCATAAAACATTTTGCTTTGAGAAAATTTTAATGCAAATATAATTTGAGTTTGGGGGTGATACATGACACTGAGAGCTATTTTGCAAAGCTGTATTTTCATCTTAGAACTTCTTAACAGGGAACCAATTGTTTTATATAGTGTGACACTTTTCTGCTATATAGTAATCTGGGGATAACACTGCATATTTCAAATTTTTAAAGAGGCAAGAGTATAGAACCTTCTGGCCACAAAATAAAGCATCCATGCATCCCCAGAGTTATGTAGGTAGAGGGGGCAGGGAGGCAGAACCCAATAATTTTTAATCAGAGAAAAACAACCATTAAACTTCGGCTTCTCTCCTAACAGTATTTGTCAAAAACACTCTCCTGTATCACCCAAATTGTTACTTTCATAAAGTTGTCCTTGGTGCTGCAGTGAAGGTGCTCTGATTCTGCACTCCCCACCATCTCCATGACACTGCAAATACCAAGTCCTCTTCCTATCTCCCCTGGAGAAGGCCTGAGCTAGCAGTTATAATGAAACCCTTTAGCCCTCATAAAACCCAACTCTGAGGTGCTCTAGGAACTAGGCTAATCGTAGCTTGACTCCAAAACAAAAAGATACAATTGTCTCATGGCTTAAAAAACACACACAAGCAAAATTAATTTAGGACAGCATCAACTGAGTAATCATGACTTAAAAGACCAGGAAAAGGCTCCTTTTTGTCACACTTACTAGACACATATAAAGGTCCCTTAATAGGTATCTAGATTTATCTCTTCTGTCGTGTATACACCAGAGGGACGAGATGCGGATCTGGCTTCTCCACATCTCAGCCTCCTCTGCATAATTTTTCTCTGAATAGCACTTTGCTAAGAGACTGCCTCTCCAGGGACCTGTGAGCAGAAAGGGGGATTTTTACCTCCTGTAAGTCTTATATTTGCATTAGCTATTAACTGTGTTCTTGTTTTTGGCCTGAGACTGTACAATCATGAGTGTGCATGCCCTGGCAGAGTCCAGTCCTCATGACCCTGGCCCATTAAATGATGGTCAACTCTGGCAGTCTGCCTGATAAAAGATGGGGCTTGGAGGGAAGAGAACTTCTCTGCCACGTGATGCCTGAAGTACAGCCACTTGAGATTGGGGCTGAATGGTATTCCATTACATGGTTTTAACATAAGGTATTTAACCAATGACATAACTGAAGTGTTGAAGCCTTTCATCCCAGAGTGAATTTAGTATTGGGTGGGTTACAGTATACTTCCTGCATGCCAGAAGGACCTCACAAGGTGGTCCCTTCTCTACTAGGGGACCAATGAGATCAAAAAACAGTGAGCTTCACTGAGCCGGCCTGACCACTGATCAGCTATCTGGGGGGGCACCCCTCTAAGGGAATGAATGCTCACTGAAAGCCAAACCTACCCCTGGACTTTTCAGTGGCCTCTAGAAAACTACCCCTGTCATCCATCCCCAGTCCACTGAGCTGCTCCAAGTCCCACCACTGGAGATTAATTCCCTCAGACCTTGAGGAGGCTGATGAAAACACAGCCGTCCCTAAGAGAAAGACACACTCACTTTGTATCACCCACTTTTGGAGAGATGATGAGAAACAGATGACAACCAAGCTCTAAGAGGATTTATGGAACCCCAAAAAGTCAGAATGGAGTAATTCACACATGTGGAAAACAAAACTTGTCCAGTGCACAAGTCTCATTAAGGTTAGTCCTGTACAGGTCAGTATTGCCTCATGTTTGTGTGTATCTTCTGTTCCTTCAAATAACGAAATCAAAAGAATTCAAATCCCACCTCTGCCTGGCACTTTTTATCCCTGTGACCTTGAGCTAATCATTTCAGTTCCGGGCTTCAGTTTCCTTGCCTATAAAATGGGGATAAGCCTACCTACATCCCCAGATCACCCTAAGTCTGGAAATAATGACAAGTATGCAGTAAATCCTTAACCAACGCTAAGTGAATCTGAATTTAAAGAGGAAGATTCTTATCAGGACCATTTAGAGCAACAGTTCTCAAATCTGAGAGCTCAGCAAGAGAATCCCCTGGAGAGCTTATTAAAGCCCTGGGGTTTATCCCCAGAGTTTCTGAGTCAATAGGTCTGGGGTGGAGCCTGCTGAGAATCTGCATTTCTAACAAGTTCTCAGGTACTGCTGGTCATGGGACCCCCCAAGTGAGAGCCACTGCTTATAGGAGAGGCTGAGCTTGAGAAAGTGAGCATGAGAAAGTTCCATCACATTAGAAAAACAGTATTAATAAGTATCAGAACTGCATACTGCAATTCCTGCCAAGTTCTGGTTTTCCTGAGTATCATCCGATGATCAACAGAGGATGGGGAAAGGGCAAGGCAAATCCTTGTCACTAGAATCTCTTCTATTAGGTAGGTCCTAGCGGAAGGAAGGAAGAAAGGAAAGAGGAGACCTCACACTTGACATCTGGAGCTCTGGCTCTAGATCTGTCTGGATGAATTTGGAAAATCACGACCAAGGTGACTCTGCTGAACTGGCTGAGCAGTATTAAAGGTTGCCAGCAGGGCACATTCCAGACACTGTTACTCAGACAGCAGTCTCTGGAAGGAATGGGTGGTAGGGGGTGGCTGTGCCTCTTCAACTGCCATTATATGTGTTCTTTTTTCTTTTTCTTTTTTTGAAATGGAGTCTCGCTTTGTCATCCAGGCTTGAGTGCAGTGGTGTGATCTTGGCTTACTGCAATCTCTACCTCCTGGGTTCAAGCAATTCTCTCACCTCAGCCTCCCATGTCGCTGGGATTACAGGTGTACGCCACCACACCTGGCTAATTTTTGTATTTCTAGTAGAGACAGGGTTTCACCATCTTGGCCAGGCTGGTCTCAAACTCCTGACCTCAGGTGATCGGCCTGCCTCGGCCTCCCAAAGTGCTGGGATTACAGGCGTGGGCCACCACGCCCAGCCCATTACATGTGTTCTGGGGATGACACTGCAGGGACACACCCCCAATGGTCCTCAGCAGGGATGTGTGTGGGGGAGGGAGGGGAGGAGGTCTTTTCTCTCTACAGACAGATGTCCACATTTGGCCAGGAGGCCACATGGCAGTGTGGCACCTTAATGCCTTCTGTGAGCAGCCAGTTCTCAGCTGAGTGAAGTTTTTATTTAGGTGAATTCAGAATTTTTTTGTTTTATATCCAGTCCTGTGGGTTTTGTTAGATATCAAGCAGTAAGAGTAGAAGGTTTGATGTATCCAAATAACTTAAAGAGATGAAGCTATTCTTTGAAAGAGGTGTGGGTCATGCCTGTAATCCCAGCACTCTGGGAGGCTGAGTCAGGTAGATTGCTTGAGTTCAGGAATTTGAGACCAGCCTGGGCAACGTAGCGAAATCCTGTTTATACTAAAAGTACAAAGAAATAGCTGGGTGTTATGGCATGCACCTGTGGTCTCAACTACTCTGAAGGCTGAGGTAGGAAGATCGCTTGAGCCCGGGTGGGAGAGGTTATAGTGAGCTGAGATTGCACCACTGCACTCCAGCCTGGGTGACAGAGCAAGACCCTGTCTCAAATTTTAAAAAAAGGGGGGAGGGGGCTTTCCCTTATGTGTTTAACATAAGGAGGAACATGGAGTTGACTTTTCCAAATCCCATTTTCCAGGGTCACTGGTCAGGAAGCTATACTCTCCTGAGTAGAGAATGGGTGGGCATATTGTGTTGTCAGCCCTAACTCAGGTGACAGGAACTTGTTCTGGTAGCTCAGTTCCTGGGAGTTGTGTGGCACGTGAAGGTTGTAAGAACCCACCTTAAGGAGTAGGTGGCCTCCCACAAGAGAATGAGTTTAGGTCAGGGTGTCAAGTAGATAGCAGAACTACCCCCACGCCCTCCCTGGGACAGGCCTGACTAGCTTCTACCCCTGCCAACTCTTGACACCTCTGAGAGTCTGGCCATTGGTGGCACCCACTTGTGCCCTGGCACAGACATGAGGGGTTATCAAGAGTGACATCACGGCAACCATAGGGATACAGAGCCAGGGCAGGGCTGAGGTGGGGTCAAGAGGCCTCTCGTGAGCTCCTAAGTATCAGACCCAGAGAGGTAGAATCTGGTAGGCAACACCAACACTTTCCAACAGGCTAGAGAAGTAAAATGGTCTGCATTGGATGAATGATCTTCCTACAGAGGCTTTTCTCTGGCTGACAGAGACAGAATATGAGAAAAAAGACTTCAATATGACACTGAGAAGAGAATGGACAACGTCCACAGCCAGGCACCGAGCAGGCTGCAATCCTCCCAAAGCTCCCCTCGAACCATGGGGGCCAGTGCAGAGGGTTTCCTTTGAAGAGAGTCTTCTGTAATGCAGGCCTATCCCTTCTCCCTAAATGTCACCCTCGAGAATGCCAAACAGGCCTCTGTACCAGCAGAGCACCGACACCGAGGTAGCTAACAAGCCAGCCTGTGTGTGGCAAGTCCCTAAGCTACACCTGGGTCCCCTGGGGCCCTGAGGGCAGGAGCAGGTGGCAGAGGGAGGCTTCTGTTTTCTTGGGTTGCTATATAACCACAGGAGGCCCAGCCCTCAGCCCTGCCCTGCTGTGCCAGGGAGAAGAGGGAACCAAGCTCAGCTTGGGCTGACAAGGGTCAGTCGGGCAGCCTCCTGCCTCCCCACCACCACATCAGGGGTGCAAGGAAGCACACAAATAGAAAATTACCCACAAAAGATTCAGCTGCATCAGGACCAACATACGGCATAACACTCCGTCACCTACAAGAAGGGGGAGTTGGACTAGTTAATTTAACATGCCTCCAGCACTAACATTCTGTAGAGAAAAATTATAAACAGAAATTGCCTCAAAAGCAGCCCCTAGTAACACTGCATATGTCAGAGCATGGGAAGTGTCTTATGTGACTTCACAGTGCCCCTTCCTGGAAGCAGCAGTGACAAGCTTTCAAAATAGGGAGATCATGGTGGAAGAGGACAAGCTCTAAGTCATTAAGGAATGGAGGATGGGAAGAAAATGGGCGAGCCCAGTGACTTGACAAATACACAAGTTAGCAAAGGAGAAATCTGTCCGAAGTTACCAAAACAGCCTATTACACTGTGGCTTTTTCATAAGCTTTTGTGGGCAGCACCCTCTTGACCTTGCTTTAGCCAAGCTTGGCTGAAGTAACTGAACAGAATGTAACATTCCCGAATGATTACTCTGTGCTAGGTGCTTTCCTGGGCACTTTTACAGAAGTTGCCTCTTTTAATTCCCGTAACTACCTCTATTTTGGGCTAAGGAGACAGAGTGAGAGGGGTATGTAACTTGCCCTGGTTACTAGCTGCTCAGTGGTAGAGCTGGCATTTGAACTGGGAGCAGCTGAAGGCACAGCAATCAGACTGCAGCCAGCAACGGTAGACCATGGCTAAAACACTGGCTTAGATCTCATTTCCTAAGAGGAGAAAATAAATCATAAAAGGGTGCTTCTTGAGCAAAGATGGGTCTAACTGTGTGTTCTTCAAAAAAAAAGGGGGGGGGCGGTAAATATATATAGTGATAAACAACTGTTCACAGATTTTAAAAAATACTGAATTCGTACAAACATCTTTATATCCTATAGTGTTGCAGATTAACAAACCTCTATATTGTTCACACTAAAAGTGAATCATCATACCTTACGAATAAAAAATTATCAACTGACATAAGGTCTTTATTATATCCTTAAAATATAATTGTTAAGAAAATCTATAATCTGAATATGCTTTCTAAATATATTTTCAAAATTTAGTAATAAAGGACTCTGTAGGGGTAATCACATGCCATTTCTTTTTAAAAAGGTAACTGGAAAGAAGGGCAATTAAAGGAAAGAACTACATTAAAGTTTAAATACACTAGCATCTTGGTATTTGAGGGTAGACTTAATTTGCCAGTAGCAACTGACAGGATCACACTGTTCTCAACCTCACAGCTCTTGTTGTGGCCTTGTGTCTGCCCTGGAGGCATTAACCCTCAGATTCCCATCACCTAGTCCCTATCCATAACTGCCTCTGAGACTTTTTTTCCCCTATCTACTAGACTACCCACGGATCTTTTGAGTCTTAATTTAGAGTCAGAAAAGGTTGTGAGTAGAAGAGGCTTTGGAGACTGGCAAATCCAACCCTCTCACTTCACAGAGAAGTGAGAGGCCAGCCAGTTTGTCCAAGATCACACATCAAATTAATACCTGAGTAGAATGGACAAGTCTCTGTGGTTCTACGTTGGTGCTGCTTCCACTGTTTCATGTCATGCTGCTGAAAGAAGGCATGGGAGCCACACCAAGGAAAAGGTGCATGGCAGGTCTCTCTCGTACCTCAGAGCTGGGCAGGATGCCCAGGCACTCTGAGCGCCCTGCTGAGGGGGCTGGAAGGTGGTAGGTGGTGCTCCTGGGCCTTACCTCCTCCTCCCGAAGCTTCTGTTTCCTTTTCTCTTCCACAGCAGCCCTCTTCTGATCCTCCCGCTGCCGCTGCTCTTCCAGTTTTCGCCATCGCTCCTCAATTTGCTTTTCGTACTGGAGCTTGGCTCTTTTCTGTTTCTCCAGGATTTGTTGTTCTCGAGCCGCTGGGGAAGGAAAGTAGAAGAGAGGTGTCATTACCAGAGCACCCCATGCAGTATGGATTAAGACCAAAAACACAGAAGCTAGAGTGGAGACCTAAAAAGAGCCTGGTGGGATCCTAGGATGCAATGATTGAGACAAAGGGTTCCGGTACCTCCACCACTAGCTGGATAACCCTGAGCATGTTAACTAGATCATCTCTGCCTTGGTTTCCTCCTTTACAATGTGGGGACAGTCATGTTTGCCACATCACAGTGTTGTGAAGATCAAACAAGATGATGCCCATGAAGTACACAGTAAGTGCCTCCATACATGGGAGCTATGGCTGTGACTGCCGTCATTAAGTCAAACTTGTACACAATGGCTAAACCGTATGCTAGGTTAAGCAATGATGCTTATAAGGGTATATTCATTGGAAAGCAGGTTAACTGTGTGTGCACCATGCATCAGATACTGAGCTGGGTCAGAGAGTAAAACACATGAATAAAATTTGCCTTACCCTCAAGACATTTCCTAAGAGGCCCTTAATTCCACCTAGCCAAGGCAGGAGAGAGTTCCCTAGGGGAGGCAATGCTTGTACCGACCAGGAGGAGGCAGTCAAGGAGAGAAGAACCTGAAAGCTCCTCATTTGCCTCAATGCAATGGGGAAACACTGTCTCCCTCCCTCAGCATCCTGTGCAGAACACTCTGTACTAATCTGTCTACGGCCTGCAACAGGCGAAACAGCCCTTCTCAACCAGGGCTACCTGTCCTAAAATATAAAATGGCTCAGGTGCTGATTTTCTCAGTTTTCCTGAGGATGGCCCTTTTAGATTCCCAAGAGAGAACCTAAGGGAGTGTACACAGTGGACACTGGAAGGTATCAGGACTTCCTTAAGTCAGGAGCAGCGACTGTTTCTCTTTCTTCAATGTCATATCTGCAGCCCCTAGCACAGTGCCTAGAACACAGCAGAGGTTCAATATTTGACGAGTGAAGTGTTCTGAGAATTACCTATTTATGAACATGCCATTTACAGTGTAGGTGGACCCCTGATTCTTCATGTTCGTCCAGCAATTGTCCTAATTCTCTTCCCATTCATTCACATATTTGTAAGAATCTTCAGAAAAGACACCACCATATCTCTACTCCCTTGGACCAAAACAGCCAAAGTGCATAACTTACCCAGACATTTTTCTCTTTCTTCCCGTCTTTCTTTAGCCAATCTCTGCCTCTCATCAGATTTCAAAAATCCTTCCATGCCTACAAAGGAGAAAACTAGATGATGTTTCAGTTCTTCACTCTTTCCCTATCTGCTGAGTACCTGGGGCAACTAAGCACGCGCCCGAGTCTAAGTGCATGCACATATCATCCATCCCCATCGCTTCAACCAAAGGAGGTCCAATCTGTCACTCTCCATGACACACACAGCCAAGGGGCAGCAGTTACCACTTTCACATTCACCTGCCAAGCTGTCCTGTAGCTGTGCCAACATCAGCCCCAGAGGACAAAGCCCCTTCCCTAATTCTTTGCCCCCAGGCAGAAAAGGGGTCAGAAAGTACAGTAAGTGACAGAGGGGCCTGGCAGTGTGCAGAGAAGCCCACTAGGCTTAGTCTAGTCAGACTCCCAGGCCTGAAGCAGGACCACCTGGGGAGAGGAGAAGCATAAAAATGGACAAAATTTTGAATATTGCTCATTACACAGACACTGAACATTTTACTTTTTTTTTTTTTTTTTTTGAGGCGGGGTCTCGTTCTGTTGCCCAGGCTGGAATGCAGTGGCGTGACCTCGGCTCACTGCAACCTCTGCTCCCAGGTTCAAGTGATTCTCCTGCCTCAGCCTCCCGTATAGCTGGGACTACAGGTATGGGCCGCCACACCTGGCTAACTTTTCTATTGTTTTTAGTAGAGATGGGGTTTTGCCATGTTGGCCAGGCTGGTCTCAAACTCCTGAACTCAAGTGATCTGCCCACCTTGGCCTCCCAAAGTGCTGGGATTACAGGCGTGAGCCACCACACCCAGCCTACTTTCTGAAAGGAGCCAACATATGAAAGACAACATTCAAGTTCAATTTTGGTTCTGCCAAGTTTGTGTCAATGTCAATCTTAGTATCTTAGAATCATCCAAATATTTACAACAAATAAGATGGAACCAATGACAACTTCCCCAAAACTGTCTGGGAAATATCCCCAGAGCTTTTCATCTCCAACCAACTCCTGCAGGACCCTAAAGGGCTTTCTAAATCAAAGGTTAAATGGATCTTCATGGTCATGCTAGGATTAGAAATAATTTACTGCACGCTTTTCCTGAGTATTAGCTACATAATATTTAAGCACATCATTCTGGAGAAATCAGCTTTAATGTTAATATAACCAGGTTCACTTCCCCAGCATCTGTGCCTTCCTCTCTGAGAGCATCAGAAGCTGGCATCACAGTGTGCCTTGCTGCCACGGCAACCTGTGCTTCTTCCAAGGAAGTTCCTGCTGCTGTCCAGGAGAGAGGCCTGAAGGCCTGGCCCACAGTGTAGGGAGTGGGAATGAGGAAGGGGGGTGGTGTGACAAACACTGGATTGTCAGGATTCCTCCCATACATTTGGTTTTTCAGCCTAGATTATACATCAGGGATATTAAAATGGGATAAGTACTAGAAAAACCCAAGTGCCATTCTCCATTTTGTTTTTAGTCATCTCTTAATCATTATGACACTATCAACAATATAAACGTCATCAAGGATTTAAAGGCCAACTCCTCAGCTCATTCCAGCCACTTCCCAATCTGACTCCAAACTCTTTTCCCAAGTTGACCTCAGCACTGCCCTTTCTCCCATGCACCTCCTGGCTCATGACCCCCTTATTCAACCCTGCTCCACCTGTTTAAACCCTGTCCATCTATAAGACCCCCTTGGTCCCCCAGCTCTGTGATGCTCTGTGTTCCCATATGGTTTGAGGACTCTGATTCTGCTTTCCCGTACAGCTCTCTCTCTCTCTCTCTCTGTAACTCAGTCTCCCCTGGTGTGTTCCAGAGCCATGTGTGGCTGATGGAACTCTCAGTTTGTAAAGCTCCAGCCACTGTTCCTTACATAGCGGCCCCAAGGTGTGTACACACGGCTCAGAGGCAGGTGTGAAGTTAGTGAAAGGGGAACAGGCATAGAAAATCAGGTTTCTCTTTTCCCTAAACACAGTCAGGTTCTAGTCTCTACCTCAAGAGTCTGATTAATAAGAATTAGTTCTGTGTGAAAAGCTACAAAGAAAAGCCTAGGATGCCTGGACAGATGCTCCCATCGGCACCTACATAAGCTCACCCACCCAGGCAGGGCCTAAACCTAGCTCTGTACTGCCCATGCTGCCCTTTAGGTGTTCATGGGCCTGTTCCGTATCTAAGTTAAGCCTGAAAATGGCTGAAAGTGCTCTTCAAACAGAGGGAAAAAAGAAAACAGAAGAAAAAGGGCCAAACACACTTGAAACTGCACAGATTACCTTGAGGCTTTACAGAGGCTGCTAGTTCGACAGACAAGCATGATTTTAGACTGCCCTCTCATGGACACATATGAGAGTCACACCTTCGAATCATCTTCCAGAAATTCTTTATTACATGCTCACAGTCATCATCACTAGCATCATCATCATAAGCAGTAATAATTGAGCAGTTACCAAGGATAAAGTATGCTGCTCAGATTTTCTCAGCCCAACCCCTCTATGATGACAGAGGCGCTGTAACAATCCGTCTTACAGTTATAGAATCAGAAGCACTTGAAGCTAGATTCCAATGCAAGAACTTGACTTCAGGACCCACTTTAAAAAACATTAAAAATATGTATTTTCTCTAATCTCTCACATCTGGCTGAAAGGGCCCACATTCTTAGTTACCGCTTTTCTGTGCTGCTTCCCCAGCACAGGAAGAATGTAACACCTTGATCTTAGCGCTGTGACCCAGTGATGCATACAGGGAACAAATCCTAACCTGGCCCCAAGAATGAGCCTGCAAATCTGAAGAGAAGTTGAGTGTGACCCATTAGAGAAGTATAAAGTAAGCAGTACTGTGAGCCAAGCGCTGGTGCAGCTGGGCACAGATGTGGTCACTGTACAGGCAGGCTAATTAGCAGCTTCCTCCTCACACTAGTGGTTTGAAAATGTTTGCTCAGCAATGTTTTAGTGCTGACGCTGGGTGGGGAAGGGGCTACAGAGGACCCTGGGGGCAGCTGTAGGCCTCTCCTTGCTCGTGTCACAATACAGAGCTGTCTCTTTCTTTTTTAAATTCAGCTTTGCCCCACTGAAAGGGGTGGAGTGACTCAAACAGCCCAACATGGGTGATGTGGAATCTCTGTGCTGTCTATTTGGCAGCCATGAGCTATACATGGCTATTTAAATTTCATATCAAAATTTAGTACAGTTACAGTTCATTCAGTTCTTAGTCTCACTGGACACACTTCAGCCACATGTGGCTGGTGGTTACCACCCTGCAGTGAGAAGCCTGGCAGCTCCCTCCTGTGATTCTCTCTCTGCACATCTTGCTGCTCTGGGAAACATGTGGATAAGGAGGTCTGAGTTCAGTCAGGATTGAACTTTACTGGATGAGTAAGGCTTCTTCTACACAGCATCTGCTTCGTCTGCTTAACTGTTGAGCAAACATTTTGAGAATATCCATTCCAAGAGGAGCCAAATAACTCATCTCCAGCTTCCACCTTCTGACCCTAGATGTCTCTCCCAAAGGCTGTCGAAAAGCCCTTTTGCTCATTCCGAGGTAAGGAGGGCTGGAGCACAAACCATGGACTCTAACAAATCAGTTACTACCGAAACACAGTCAGATTTAAACCAGAGGAACTGAGGTAGATTATTGTGAACACTAACACCAGGAGATGCCCTCTTAAGACACAGTGTAACCAAGAAGTAATGCTTGATATGGTTTGGCTCTGTGTCCCACCCAAATCTCATCTTAACTTGTACCCCCATAATTCCCAGGTGTTGTGGGAGGGACCTGGTGGGAGATAATTTGAATCATGGGGGCGGCTTCCCCCACACTGTTCTCAATGGTAGTGAATAAGTCTCATGAGATCTGATGGTTTTATTAGGGGTTTTCACTTTTGCATCTTCCTCATTTTCTCATGCCACCACCATGTAAGAAATGCCTTTCACCTCCCGCCATGATTCTGAGGCCTCCTCAGCCATATCGAACTGTTAAGTCCAATGAAACCTCCTTTTCCTCCCAGTCTCGAATATGTCTTTATCAGCAGCATGAAAACTCACTAATACGGTGCTGAATTCAGCTCCAAAAGGAAGTCTTTATATATGGCCTGAAATCCTAAAATGTCCAGCTTTCCTACCCAATCAATCCCTTGTCCATGTACCCTATTTGTGTACATTTATCATCATCTCTTTTTTATTTTTTTGAGACAGGATCTCACTCTGTTGCCCAAACTGAAGTGCAATAGCATAATCATGGCTCACTGCAGCCTCCAACTCCTGGGCTCAACTGATCCTCCCACCTCAGCCTCCCATGTAGCTGGGACCACAGGTATGTGCCACAATGCCTGGCTAATTTTTAAATTTTTCAGTAGAGACAAGGTTTCCCTACGTTGTCCAGGCTGATGTTGAAACTCCCAGGCTAAAGCAATCCTCCTGCCTCAGCCTCCTACAGTGCTGAGATTACAGGCATGAGCCACAGTCTATGGCCATCTCTTGCTTTTTTTAAAACCAGGGACCCAATTTTACCTTTAAATTCCATGAGAACTGACAGAGAACAGATTTATACCTGCATGCTTGCCAGTGGCTGAGAAGGTAGAGGTGGGAGGGAAGTGGATGTCTGTAATAGGCATCATGAAATATACTCTATCTTAATTGTATCAGTGGTAACATCGTGGTTGTGATACTGTTCTACAGTTTTGTAAGATATTACCATTGAGGTAAACCCGGTAAAGGGTACATTGTAGGGCTCTCTCTATAATTTTTTTTTTTTTTTTGAGATGGAGTTTTACTCGGTCACCCAGGCTGGAGTTCAGTGGCACAATCAGCTCACTGCAGCCTCGAGCTCCTGGGTCCAAGTGATCCTCTCACCTCAACCTCCCAAGTAGCTGGGACTACAGGCGTGTGCCACCATGCTTGGCTATTTTTTTTTCTTTTTCTTTTTGAGATGGAGTCTCGCTCTGTCACTCAAGCTGGAGTATACTGGAGTAATCTTGGCTCATTGCAAACTCCACTTCTAGGGTTCAAGCAATTCTCCTGCCTCAGCCTCCTGAGTAGCTGGGACTACAGGCGTGCGCCACCACGCC